CCTGGGAAGGAGTGGCTGGAGAGCTGCTAGTCAGAGAGGGACCTGGGAGGATTGATAATGAGCCAGCAGTGTGCCCAGGTGGCCAAGAAGGCCAATGGCATCCTGGTTTGTACCAGCCCTGGCGTGGCCAGCAGGGACAGGGAAGGGATCTGAGCCCTGGGCTTGGCACTGGGGAGGCCACCCCTCGGTAAGTGGATTCAGTTTTGGGCCCCTCACCCCAAAAAGGCCATTGAATGACTCGAGCATGTCCAGAGAAGGGCAACGGAGCTGGTGCAGGGTCTGGAGCACAGGTCTGCTGGGGAGCGGCTGAGGGAACTGGGGAGGTTTAGTCTGGAGAAGAGGAAGCTAAGGGGAGACCTCCTGGCCCTCTGCAACTCCCTGACAGGAGGGTGCAGAGAGGGGGGATGAGTCTCTTGACCCAGGGAACAAGCACCAGGACAAGAAATAATGGCCTTAAGTTCCACCAAGGAAGTTTAGACTAGATATTAGGAAGCATTTCTTTGCAGAAAGGGTTGCTGGGCATTGGAATGGGCTGCCCAGGGCAGGGGGGGAGTCCCCATCCCTGGAGGGGTTGAAGAGTCAGACTGACCCAGCACTGAGGGATCTGGTGGAGCTGGGAACTGTTAGTGTTGGGTTGATGGTTGGAATTCAAGGTCTTTTCAATCCTAGACAATTCTGTGATTCTGTCATCAGAGGCCAGGGAAGGGATAAAGGCAATGCTAGAAGAGAGGACAGAATGACCTGCCTAGCACAGTCCTTGCTCAGTCCCCTTACAGTTGGATGAAGGAGAGAACCAGAAGAGTGAAAGAGAAAATTCATGGGTGTTGGAGAATGGCTTGCAGAACAAGGTCATGGATCTGTGCAGGAGCTGATTACAGCCATGTGAGGTAAACAAAGGGAAAAATCCAGGGCACAGTTATGCTAACAAAGGACTGTTATGCTATTGGCGTGAGAGACTGAGGTACAGAGTGGCCTTGATTATAACGGAAAACAACCTCTGGGAAAAAACAAGCCAGAAGAAGGAGGATGTTGTGACATGCCTGAAATGCCACAAAGGGTTGGGATATTATAATGTAACCTTTTAGATGTATCCAATAGATTTACAATTAGTATGCATAATTATAGTTAGTGCTTATATAAGGTGTGATTTCTTTCAATAAAGTTGAAGCTTGCTCTATCATTCACACTGAATCGACTGCTTGCTTCCTCCGCTTGTCGCTCGTGGGTTGAGATAAAGACAGTTTAACAGGCAAAAGCAAAAGCCATGTGCAGAAGCAGAGCAAAACAAGGACTTTATTCACTATGTCCCATCAGCAGGCAGGTGTTCAGCCATCTCCAGGAAAGCCAGGCTCCACATGTGTAACAGTGACTTGGGAAGACAAATTACATCACTCTGAATGTCTCCCCCTTCCTCCTTCCTCCTCCAGCTTTTATTACTGAGAATCATGTCTGGGATATCTCTTTGGTCTGTTGGGGTCAGCTGTCCCAGCTCTGTGCCCTCCCAGCTCCTTGTGCACCCCCAACCCCCTGCCCCAGGCAGGGCCCCCTTCCACTAGCCCAGATTGCCCAAAGCCCCGTCCAACCTGGCCTTGAACCCTTCCAGGGAGGGGGCAGCCACAGCTTCTCTGGGAAACCTGTGCCAGGGCCTCACCACCCTCACAGGGAAGGATTTCTGCCTTAGATCTCACCCAAATCTTCCCCTCTCTCAGTTTAAAACTGTTATGTTTGTCCTATCCCTACACTCCTGATAAAGTGCCTCCTCATCTTTCCTGTAGCCCCTTTAAGCACTGGAAGGCCGCTATAAGTTCTGCTCATGTTGTCCCACAAGTGGGATCATTTACCTGGTGTACAATACAGAGCAGAGGTATTTTATTTATTTCACGTTTGCGCAAAAATGGGTGCTAGGTGGTAATTCCACAGAGATAGCACCCCGCACAAAAGAACTTCAGTGTATTTATACCCTTCAGACTACACAAATACACATTTACTGTAATGGCCATTGGGCAATTTCTTATCACTTTGACCCTCATTGGTTAACAACATGCCTCGTCTCTAAAGTTAGTCTTTTTATTATTCTGTGCAAACTTAAAGGGTCAAGGGGGAGGCAAGTTTTTTGGTCATAAATTGAGTTGGTAGTTGCGATCTCCCATTGCTCTCTTCACCTTTCCTCCAGCTACCATAGATTTTTGCTAACTTTCTGTTTCTTTGGCAATTACTCAGCTTTCAGCACTTACTGGGTAGGATGTTCCCTTTTTATCAGTCTTTTAGTTTCTCTTCAAGGGCATAGTCATTAGTAAGGCCTGCACACAAAGTAATCAGGCTTACATAGTAAAATCATGAGTCTCTGTCCTCCTTAGAGAATTTAGATGTGGTAAATCTAATTCTAACTTGAATAGTGTCACTGTAACGTAGGTACTTATTCAAACATACAGTTTTACATAGGTAACATACCAAGCACCTTAAGTAACAGTTAGGCACCATGAACAACAATAAATTACAAAAGGAAACACCTCAAGACAGATATGAGAAAGACAAATGTCTCCATACAGACAACACAAAAGTCCTCCTCCTAAGAGGATTACGCAGGTGAGAGAAGGCCCTTTCTTTCTCTGAGAACTCAGGAGAACATATGGGCTGACAATATCCTCAGGGTGCCAGGGACTAAATAGAAGCATCCTTTAAGATCAGTAGCTTTTGTTGTATTAAATGTAGTATGTAATGTCTAGGAATGTATGTTTAGAAGATAAAATAACTGATCATATCTGAAGCCATGGTCAGTCCAAAGATGGCAAATAATTACCCATTTCTCTCCACATCATCACTGTGGCTGGATGGCATACATCACCAAAGTAAAAAAAAAAGCTTGCTTCAAGGCCTGAACCCTAACAACCTGAAGCCAAACCTCAGCTTGAACCCAAACTTCTAACCCTAATGGTGCCCTGTAACATGAGCCTAATCCTAACCCCTAACCTTAATGACCCTAACCCTAAGAACCTGGGGCCATCTGGACAGCAACAGGGCCCCACCTGAACTCCAGAAAAGCTTGGTAAAGGGCCTGGGGCACTCGGAAGGACAGCAGGGACCCTTACAGGCCCTAGCAAAGGGGCCAGGAAAGTCCCTGGGGCTCTCTGGAGGGCAGCAGGGCCAGAAAAGCCCACTGGAGGCCTCAGGGCACTTTGGAGAGAAGCAGGGCACCACAACCAGCAAAGCTTGGCCAAGGCTCTGAGGCTCTCCAGAGGACAACCTGGCCCAGCCTGGGACCCACAAAAGGCCCCACGGAACTCTTAAGGAAGCCAGGGCTCTGCTTGGGTCCTGGAAAAACCTGACAAAAGACCCAGTGAAATTCAGAGAGCAGCAGGACACCACCCAGGTGTCTACAAACCAGACAAATGCAACAGGGCACTCTGAAGAGCAGCAGGGCCCTTTGTGTGCCTTGGCAAAGGCAGCTAAGACAATGGGGTACTCTTCAGCCGCCTAAATGCAGGGGCAGCAGTGGGTTCAAGGTGGTCTACTGTTGTGGTTTAACCCTGTCCAGGAGCTAAGCACGTCATGGCCCCTCGCCTGCTCTCCCCCTGAGGGATGCGGGAGAGAATTGGTACAGTAAAAGTAAGAAAACTTCTGTGTTGAGATAAAGACAGTTTAATGTGTAAAGCAAAACCCAGGTAAGTAAACAAAGCAAAATAAGGCATTCATTCACTATTTCCCATCAGCAGGCAGGTGTTAAGGGGCACTTCCAGGAAAGCAGGGCTCCATCACGTGTAATGGTTACTTGAGAACACAAACCTCCAGACATTCCACCCTTCCTTCTTCTATCCGCAGTTTTATATGCTGAGCATGATGCCATACGGTCTTTAATATCCCTTCGGGTCAGTTGGGGCCAGCTGTCCCAGCTGCAGCCCCTCACACCTCCTTGCACACCCCCAGCCTACCCGCTAGGGTGGTGCGGGAAGCGGAAAAGGCCTTGACTCTGTGTGAGCACTGCTCAGCAGTGATGAAACCATCCCTGTATTAACACTGTTTTCAGCACAAATGCAAAACACAGCCCCATACACTCTGCTATGAAGAAAATTAAGTTTATCCCAGCCAAAACCAGCAAGTCTGCACACATCTTTTCCTGGTGCATGACAGACGCGCGTGCGGACCGTCCCTCGGACAACGCTACTCAGTTTCGCTTCGGTGCGCTCTCCGCTCCTGACGGTGAGGAAACCCCAAACCGCCGAAGGGGGTGGGAGCGGGGAGATCAGGGGGCGAAGGAGGAGGCGGAGGGAGGGGGCCGGGGCAGCAGACAAGGCCACTCCCCACCCCTGCAGCCGCCACCGCGCGGTATCCGCGCTGCGCCAAGGACCGGAAGGAGCGTCCGTCGCCACCGGTTCCGGGCGGAACCCGCGTCCCCGGCACCGCGGTTCCGAGGGCAGCAGCGACCGGGAGGGGTCTGTGGGGTGCTGGAGGACTGTGCGGCTGCTGTGATGACGGAGACTGCTGTGAGACGCGGGGTTGCCACAGGGCTAGTCTGGGGCTCCTGTGGCGTTCCTGCGGGTTCCTATGGGGCCGCTATGGGGCCGGGAGTTGCTATGGCGTTGCTATGGCGTTGCTATGGCGTTGCTATGGGGCAGGGAGCGCTGGGTGGCGCCAAAGGCACCCGGACCCCCTCGTGACACACCACGTGACCTTCCCCATCCGGGTGTTATCAAGATGGCGGCGGCGGTTCGGGGACGGCGGTTCAAGTGGTCGCTGGAGCT